CGGCCCCTCCAACGCGGACAGAATCGCGTCACCGCCGCCCCATCCCCCTGCGCTTCCGGTGCGCCCAAGCCACTGCGCTTGCGCGCTCAGGGGATTGGCCAGTTTCGCTGACGTGCATCTCTCGACGACGCCACCGTCTGGACGTGGCTCCAAGAGTCGGGAGACGCCGGCTGGGGCACATGCGTACTGGGCGACGGACAAAGTCCCACAATACCTCGCTTCGTCACTTCCAATCAGACTCAGGGCGAGACGCTTCCGCTCGGATAAAGGCATTGTCGGGGTGATAGTACTTGCTTCCGGAAAGGCGAGCTGAGCGTTATGGGTTAGGTGAGGAACCTCGCCCTCTTCTATTACGGTACGCGCGATGGGGATTCCCTGATGCCATGAACGTAGACGTCTCACACACGGGGCCAGACGCTTGCCTTAGTTAACGCGTGAAGAACGGCCCGGCCTTTTGCGGAGAAAAGTGGTTAAAAGCCGACTTGTGGGCCGAGAAACTGTGGCATCCTAATGAGCTAAGGCGAGACGCTTCGACCACCACGCTAGGTTATTCTGAAGATCTTTAATTCTATCAAGGCGAGAGCGCTCCAAGACATGTTCATCGGCTATTGCTTTTTAAAGAGAAGGCAACGAGGAAGTCTTGCTTTTCTTGTACTTTTTCTCCTAGAAGCAGCATGAAAGACTTACTCCTTAGGTTGAGGAAGTGGAAAGCGTCTTGATCAGGCCTGGCGCGGTGGCTCACCGTGCCCGGCCTGCTACACCTTCTTAAATTCACAACAATGATTAATTTATTAGACTCATTGCCAGGATAAAGATTTAATCTGTTTTTCTAATAGTGCCGTCCTTTGTGGTTCTGTAGTTGCTTATTCCAACTGGTATATTTCCATAGGATGGGGTTGAATAAGAAAAACTTGCAAACTTTCAAAAACAGTAAGCTATTTTTGTATTTTTGAAGGCTTGCTGAGTAACGCTTCTCTTGGTACCACTACGTTATCTACCCTTCAGAGACTGTTGTTTCTTAGGAGTGGCCCTGGGCAATTAAAAGCAAAAACTTCTGGCCAGGCACAGAGGCTCAGGCTTGTAATCCCAGCACTTTGGGAGGCCGAGGTGGGCGGATCACGAGGTCAGGAGATCCAGACCATCCTGGCTAACACGATGAAACCCCGTCTCTACTAAAA